CCCGGTTTTAAACGGGTAAAACCGAAAGAGCACGGCTGGCCGCGGCGGGCAGCCCGCTCCCCTTCCTTCCCTCCTTCCCTCGCTCCGGACCCCGGCCGGCAGCCGCGGGACGAGGCCGGGCTCCGCTCCCCGCAGGGGGACGTTGGTCGATTCTCCCCCCACACACACACACCTCCCCGGCCGCTGCCCCTCCCCGCCGCCCCACGGCCGCCTGCCAGCCCGGGCTCCGCCGCCGTGTCTGCGGCATGGCCCCTCCTTCCCCACACCCCTTCCTTTAGGCTCCCCCCTCCCCAGCAAAGAAGAGGCCGTGCCGGTGTTTTTCCACTCAGCAGGATGGGTGATGCTCAAAGCTCCCTCATTAGACAACAGACACGAGAGGTCAGGAAGAAAGAGCTTATAAATTACCGTTTCCTCCTGCTCGACGCTGCTAGTCGCGCCGCACCGCTCCGCTCCGCAGGACGCGCCGCAGGGGCTTAGCGGCGCGCAGGAACCGCGGCCGGCGGACGCAGGTACCGGCGCCTCCCGGGCTGGGGCTGGGGCTGGGGCTGGGGCTGGGGCTGGGGCTGGGGCTGGGGCTGGTGCGGATCCGCATTTGGATCCGATCCGCGGCGAACAAAGAGCGGCGGCTCCGCGCCCGGATGAACCGAACCGAACCGGGCTCGGGCTGGAGGGTGGCAGCGGCGGCGGCGCGTCCTCCCCTTTGTCCGCGCCGGCTCGGGGTGCCCCTGCCGCGCTTTCCCTTCTGCCTCCGTGTATTTATTTATCCATTCTTCTCCCTTCACCCCCTCCCCGGCGGGCTCGTTGTCCCGAGGGGGTTTTCCACCCCGTTGCTTATTTCCACACCCCGCTTTGCGTTAACTTTGTCGGCCCCTCCAGCACATCTCCTCTCCCCGGCTCATTTTACCCTTCTCCTCTCGCCTTCCCACCCCTCCGCGCTTTATTTTCTCTGGCTGCCTTGCGCTAACCTCAAGGGAAGAGGCTGGTCCCGGCAATGTTCCATCTGATGCTCACGGGCCTACCTGGTGGGTAACACCGCTTCTTGTTCCTTTTTATTCCCTTCGTTTTCCTTTGATTTTGCTGGTTTTGGGGGCATGCTGAAATCAAAGTTGCGATTGGAGCTTGGAAATAAAACCCGCAGGGGCTGCACGGAGCAGGGGAACGAGCTCAGCACGGGGTGGTCATTCTGGGTTCGTCTTGGGGTAATTTGGATCCAAATTTCACCCACTGGCTTTTAGATAACGAGTGCCCATCTCTGCCTGATGCTGTAACAGGCGGCGGTTGTGGGAGGACTCGCAAGGCTTCCATATAAGAACATGGGAGAATTTATTTCACATAGGCGCAGCGTGTGTGTTATTTCAGAATCGGAAGGCAAGCTGGGCTCGCCCCAGAGTGGCAAAACTTTGTATTTAGGGGTTGTAAAAGCCGGTTTCTGCTGTTTAACAAGAGCCACGGTTAAAGGAAAGCCCCGGTGAGCAAAAAGTAGGAGGAGAGGATCCAGATAAACACAGCGAAATACAACCTCGCAGCACGGCTGGTGCCGAGGTGTAAAGATGGAGTTTTTTGGTTAGTTCCCATTTTTGTAACCGTATTGGGAAAGGCATTAAGAAAATGTGCCCAGAGGAGCCGGTTACGTTCATGGGGCTATTTTGGTAACTGCTTTTTTTTTTTCTCTATTACTGCTTATATGTCGAAATGTTGTGAGGTTTGCACCAGCAAAACAGGGAGGGGAGCATGGCACCGGGGGCGTGATTCAGGGCTCGGTGACACTTGCTGCCAGTTCAGGTTTTATGGCTTTATGTTGGAGGGCAGCAGCCCGTTAAAACCTGCTCCTGCGAAATTCAGAGGGCAGAGTGTTTGCTGAGATCCCTGTTGGGTTTTGACAGCCGGGTGTTTGCCTCCAGGTCTGCATTGGGGCGAGCTGAGGAGGTGTTGCCTGTCTTTGAGTGTTACAGAGGGTCCCCTGAAGGTTGTTGGGGGGTTTAAAGGAAAACATGGGAGCAGTGGGGTAGCCAGTAGTGCGACGGTGGCCCCGGCCACGGGTAAGCCGAGCCTGAAGCATGAGTGTGGCAGGAGGATGTCTGTGCTGCCCTGGTTCAACTGACACTGGAAACTTTTATTTTTGGCACTTTCAGAGATAGCATCTTTGTGTTTCCTCTTCAACTGCTTCTTTTCTGCTTTGCATATTATGGTTTTCTCTCTTCTCTTCATTTGCCTGCATTTCACCTCTGTTCCATCCCACATTTCTCATGGTTTGGGTTGATTTGAGGAGGGCGATCAGCTCCTTGCCCTGCCTGGTGCTGTCCCATGGATGGGTTGGGACCCTGACCCCAGCCTGTGGACTGGCAGCAAAGCCAAGGCCACTTCTCCCTGTAATTTATTAACCTGCTGCTCCTCCCATACGGGGTTAGGGTTATTCCCTGCCACACTGTGCGGAAAGCAGGAGCTTGCAGATGGCACTGTGATACTGGGAGGTACTGAGAGGGTGGTGGCAGGTTGGGGGGTGCCAGGTCAAAATCTGAGGGGTGGGTGATGTGTGTGGTGGTGGGAAGGATTCTTTGTTTGTTCGTTTAAGTTTAAGGATCTTGTACTAGAATCCAGTAGGAATCTGGAATGCTTCAAATGCTGTCAATTGTTATTTTATTTCACTGAGCAAAACTTGTCACATTCCTCTCTGTTGGTAGATTTTGGGCTGCCGGGAGGTTTCTGAAGTGTCAGAGGGGAAATGCTGGGGCTGTGGCAGGAAGCTTCAGTCTGTGTGAAATGCTGTATCAAAAGAGTGGCAGCATCGCCCTGGGAGCATAGGAAGACCCTTTAGCTCGGCTCACTCTTGCTGCACAGTGCTTGGGAACCCTCCTCTGGTGCTTGAGCACAGTCCGGATTGTAAAGCCACAGTGTAGATCTCATCTTACAGCAGATCATTGGAAATACTTCAATGAGTTTTCCTTAAATCAATACTCTGCCTGACCAAAACTGAGCTACCTCTTAGTGGCTTCTAGCCAAGTGCTGTGGGCTGAGTGTTTTCCAAGGAGACTCTCAGCACAAGCCCTTCAGCAGGCTGATACTGTGTTTCCCAGGCAGTGATGCTCCCAGGATTTCCATCACTGCATCTCAGACTTAGCAGAACCCCTCTATTATTTTCCTTTTGCCCCTTCCAGGTTTTCCAATGCCCCATAGTTTTGCCTCAGCGGCAGTGTTGCCAGTTCCACCAGTAAGGGGAGTCCCTGCACTAGTGCCCTACCCAGGCTTTTAACCATGCTGGCAAATGACTCTGGAAAGATTATGCTGCTTTGTTTCTTTTAATGTTAACCGTATTACAACGCATAAAAATGGATGGGAAAGCCATGGTAGTTAAAGCCTTTTGCAAGTAATGCTTATGTGATTGGTCATACTAATAAATTGTAGATCATTTAAGAAGTGCAGCTTTGAATAGATTACCCAGCAGGATTAGTGCCTTCGAATTCTCGTCACTGACTCAATTTACGTGACCAGAATGGACCAGGGTTATGTTTTTTAAAGTAATTCTGAGTCCAGACCTCTTTAAGTGCTGCATACACGGAACTGAAGTTTATTCTCATGCCACTCTGGGGGTGCTGCTTGTGGGATTGGGTCCTTGGCCTTGGGAAGCAAAGCGTGAGGGTGAAAATGCAGTGATTTAATATCTGCTGAATTTCTTCCACACATGCATATTTACTTGAATCCTCAGCTGTTGTCATGCCATGGATTTAATTGATTTGTGCTAGCTGAATATCATCCCAAGGCATGTAAACTCTAGGCAATACCCTTTAAATTGCTTACAGAGTAGCTAATATTGGTAGAAGATAATGTGGTAGAAATTAAGTGGAACTGCCACACTTCATTGTCCTTTTGTTCTCCCAAACCTGCTATTGGAAGTGCTGCTGTGCTGCCAGTCTGACTCTGAAGCTGTGGCTGGTGTCCTGCAGCGTCTTCTGTATCTGTACCAGTCTCTGTCTTTTTTTATCAATGTATTCAAGGCCAGGTTGGATGGAGCTTGGAGCAAACGGCTCTAGTGAAAGGTGTCCCTGCCCATGGCAAGGGGTTGGAACTGGATGAGCTTTAAGGTCCCTTCTGACCCAAACCAGTCTGTTATTCTATGATAACACCAGCAAAAAGCCACTTGGTGCTGACCCTAAACCCTGCCCCAAGAGTATTCACCAAACCTACCAGCTTGGTTAGTGGAAGGGGAGCATGAATCTAATCCACGTCCTGCCAGGGAGCATTGGGTGGGAGGCAGCAGGACAAGCGGCTGTTAAAACCTACGGGCTGATAGGAAGACTCATGCACTTCAGGAGTTACTGGCTTTCCTGTTGTGGTTCTGTTGCCCAGAATGGTCACAGCCTCGAAGAGCACCTTCACATCCCTGACCTGGGTTTGAATTCGGTCAGTGCTTCAGCACTGCTGTGGAAATACAGTCACACTGTGCCAAAACACAGCTGGAGCACCCTGCCATAGGGTGTTGGTGTTGGTAGGCTGTCCACAGGTTGGAGAGCAACCCATGTATCAACCCATGAGGTTATCAGTGAACTGGAATGTAGTTAAAATTTCATCCTTTTTTTTTTCCTTCAGATCATAGAATCATCAAATGGTTTGGGTTGAAAGGGACCTTAAAGCTCATCCAGTTCCAACCCCCTGCCATGAGCAGGGATGCCTTCCATTAGACCAGGTTGCCCAAAGCAAAGAATGAATCACAGGGCATTTACATTTTAATTCACTGCTGGGGTATAATTTCCTTGCTCTTGAGATGGATGTAGTCAAATTTCCTGTGAAGTTTTGCATGGGATGGAGCAAGTGGGAAATGGTCTCTTGTTCTGACACTGGTGCTGCACTCTTGATGTTCTTCAAGTGAGAGTTCATACTGGTGAAATTCAGAAAACACTGTGCATGGTAACACTGGAACTTGTCTAATTTACCATGCTGGAACCATTATTTTTTTTCCTTTAAAATACATTTCTCCTTTTTCTCTCTTTCTTTTTCCCAAACAGGAAGAGAAAACCCATTCAGGAGAGACTCTTCTTCATGTAAGTGTTATTTATGCTTGCTTATGAAATTACAAAAGGGTCGTAAAGCTCATTAAAACATTCAAATACTGAATGTTTGCCATCTGTTGATAGAAACTAAGTATAGAGCGTATAAAAATAGGTTGTAGTTACACAGTAATAACGCTCAGCAACTGTTATCTTAAATCACTCTGTGCACTTCTTCTGTGCATATCACTGCAGGATTTAGAAACCATTTCAAAGCACTTTGCAGGCGTTTAAGCAGCATGCCCATAAAGTCGGTGTGTAAATCCTGGAGGGATAATGTTCAAGTGGCTTGCCCAAAGCAAAGGAGACCTGTAATTTAAAGCTGGTTTTAGCACCCCAGAGTCCTTGATTCCCAAACCCTGTGACAAGAGTCAGCTTCTCTGCCTTGGATCCTACAAAATCCAAGTCCTGCCTATAGAGCTATTTGCGTGCATGTGTAGTGTGTGCATGTGTGGGTAAGAGAGAGTGTGTATCTGCGTATTTGGCCTCAAATAGCCTATAGGTATTTCAGGCCTTTTCTACAACCTCTGGTGATGCCCCTTACAAGAAGAGTAGATGCCACCAGCCATTGGTGAATACTGTTGCAAGTGTTTTGTGGAAGCCTTTGGCTCCAGACTGACGGCCCGGTCTGGAGGAGCTGGTGCATTATTCTTCATGGGACCAAGAAAGCTCCATGTGAGAAAGATACAACAGGTTCATTTTTCCACAGCACCTAGTGACCTGGTTGGCTTGAGGTTCTCAGATCTGAAAACTCCTGAGGAGTTCAGGAAGCTCCGTTCTGGTATTTCTTCCTAGTAACTAAATCTGATTTAATGTTCTAAGGGGCTGCATAGATGAAGACTCTCATTGCCTTAATGCAAAATGAGCTTAGCAAGGAAAACGACTGCATTGTTCCCAATGCAGGCCCCGCTTTGCCTAACTTCCAAGCATGTTCTACATCCAGTGGCATGGCCAGCCCACGAGCACTCACCTCAGGCTCATTGCCCATAAGTCAACATTTGATTTGATTCTGGTATAAATAACATCTCCCTCGGAATCGCAGCGCTCCATTCCGCTTGCGTAGCAACTGCTGGTTAATCTGTAGCAAAAACGCCGTGTGGTAACAAATGGTTTTTTGCTATTGTTGAGCTGGAATGTTAGTTCAGCTTCTAGATGAAAGTGGCTTGCGCAAGGCGTCCCCGGTAGACCATGATCTCTGTGGCTTCTATGGTAGTTCTGTAGGCAACCGTGTTCTGCTCTTCCTCTCCCCTGTGCTTCCCTTCATCTTCCACCTGAACGAGGGGTGGGCTTAGGGGAAGGCAGGGAACTTTGCATCCTCAAAAGAAAGCTTCAGTGTGGGGTTGATATTAAGCCCGTTGCTAGTCAAGGATCTGTTGAAAACACTCTTTATTCTGGTTGTGTTGGTAGCAGAAATGTTGTAAGACACTTTATTTAAAATAGCTTTAAACCACTAAGTGTTCTTTGGCTGGTTTTATGGATATCACAACATAGTCTTTCCCTAAAGAAAGAAAAAGCCAGTAGTAGGTGAAGGATACCCCACAAAGGATTAAAGAATCTCCCTTCCCTGCAGCTGGAATTCTAGCTGAGACTAGGTTAAGAGTTTGTATCTTTGAGAAGGTACATCATCATTTTTAAAAGGTAATGGAGAAGGACAAAATCCAGAAGGTTTTTTTTTGTTACGACCATTTAAAACAGTAGTAGCTCATTATTATTTCACTCTAGTGTAGGAAATTCAGACCTCTTGAAAAGCACATCCTTCCCAGAGATTTAAGTGGCAAATAGTGCAACAAAACTACCTTTTAAGGGGAGAAGCTCCCAAACAGAGAAGAACCCAAAGAGGTGAACCCTACAGCACTGATTCTGTAGTGCCTGGAAACTGCAGACAAGAGTGCAGTGCAGATCTGAAGGGTTTTGTTTGGAGATTTCAGTACCACAAGTAATTGGGGGCTTCTTATGTCCAATACATACAGTTTGAAACGAATGAGCAATGAAAAGTTTGTGGTCCAGAGGCCATTTGTGGTGCAGCCTTCCATCACCTGCTGTGGCTTTTCAACAGCTAGTGGCAAGCTTTGAGCATCAGAGCCTCTCTCTTCTGGTTCTGTGCATGAAATATTATGACTTTGACTCAATAACTCTGTGCCTGTCTGTGCATTGGCTGCCCTTGGCTTCCTCAACTGTGTGAGCTTCCAAACGAGAGTGAAACCCAAGGGATGGGAATAGTAAGGATATAGTGAAGTGGTAGGATCGTGAAGCACCCAGGACAGGGAGTTCTCCAGGCCATGTTCAGAGGGGGTTGATTCACTCCTGTAGCGGTGAATGCTTGATGGGGATTAACCCCTCAGGGCTGTGATTTGGTCTGGTTACCACCACAGGAGCTGACCACATTGAGACAGGACTCCCTGTAACAGTAACCAGCCATATGTAGTTGTAATGATAAGAAAGGGACCGTCTTATTGTAGTCACTTTGCGACAAATACTACCACAATTCATTACTTTCCATCAGTGCCTCATCCTATGGAGGAATCACCACTGCCCATCCACATTGAGGAGGGGACTGAAGTCCCGACTGGTGAGTGCAGTTGGGATGGGATGTGTTTAAGGGGGGGTGTAACGGTACTTGGGTTTTATATTCCTCACGTTTGTCTATACCCATTTGTCATTGAAAACTGTAAGGCCTGTTGCAAATGTTCTGGGATTTTGGTTTTTATATTCTTAATGCAAGTGTATTTTAGAGCTCTTGAGGATGGTTAAATACTGCTAGTGTGGGTTTTCAGCGAATCATAAATCAAAGTACAGAAGTCATAAATCAAAGTACATAATTTATGTAGTGTCACTGAAAGCTTCCGCTCAGGATCTCTTAACACAAGGCTGGGGAAGACCATGAGTATCACAAGAGGTAGTTCCCACTTCAGCCTTTCACCTCGGTGTTGAGATGCTCGGCATAATCAGCCATCTGGGTCAGCAGTTTTTGTCTTGCTGACACTCTGCTGCCCAGCACCCAGCAGACTCACATTGCACACACCACTGGATACCCAGAAGAGAGTTAGAGAGCTTTGCCATTACCCGCGTTACACATTGGAGTGCTGCACACCCCTATTTCTGAGCTCTGGTGTGGAATGGGTTCTCACTACATGGATATGTAGTTTGGGGTGGTTTATTTTGTTTTAAATAGAGGAGCAATCTTCTAGATAACCCATAAAGAAAGAGACTCAAAGATCAGTAAGCTGGACTGTGGTGATCTCTTTGGACTGTAGAAAGTTGTGACTGCAGCATTTCCTAGATCCCCTTCCTTATCCAACCTGTTCTTGGTTGCATACAGTAAGTGCGCCTTGGCTATCACCTTGGGAGTCTGCCTTGTTGAGCAGATGTGTCTCTTCAAATAACTTATTCTATATCCTGAAATTTTCCATTCCAAAATTCAAGCGATTGCTTCTTGTCCTACTGTCTTTTGAGCTAGATGAATTACCTTCCTTACACACAGCACCTTGAGGGTATTTATAGCTGGATCTGAGCCCAGGAGTCTTCTCATTTATAGACCGTATTAATTTAGCTCTCTTATTCTTTCCTTAGATCATTTTTATTGTCCTTATTTGTATTTCCTTTAATTTTTCTATCTCCTTTCTAATCTGTGAAGACTTGAACAGCTCATAGTATATCCACTGTGGTTGTTTTGCCGTAGCATTATGCTTTAGATTTCCATATCATCCCTTCGTATGTATGCAACCAGAAATAGCTTAGCCTTTGACCCTTCTCCTGCATCACTCAGCAGCATCACATGGAGATAGTCTATTACATGGCTGGTCTTACCTGCCATCATCTTTAGGTCTTGGGTTCATGGCTGTGCATTTAGCTGCTCCTCAGGCAATGGCACTGCTCTCCTGAGATGTAGGGCTTTATGCTTCCTAGCACCAAATCCCACCCCATTGCATGCCACTTACTTATTTTCCCTACGGATGATTTAAGATAGTATTCCTTTGTATCTATTTTAATGCCCTGGGATTCTATCATTTACACAGAAGTTGTTACTGTTTTATCATGTATAGAGCAAAGTACTTACAATTTTATATTACAGCTGTCTTCTGCACGTTGCTCCAGTCTCCTTTCCCAGCTCCATCATTCCTGTTTGCATACCTTCCTGAGCTTTTCCTTCCTCTAGTTCTCAAAATTCATACTGTAAAAACTGGCAAGTTTAGCTTTCTCCTTGTCTTCAATTTGTACCTTTTCTCATTATACAATTAGAGTGTTGTTGCTGTGTCTCTTCTATGCATGGCCTGATGTGATCTTTCCCACAGCAGATCATCTTTTCTTCACCTCTCCTGGGGTTGTAGTCAGCTCAACATCTGCTCAACATCTATTCCCTCTTGTAGAACCATTCAGGCTGGATTCTGCTATGGCCCCTGGTATTTCATCTTGCCTTTCCCATTGCACTGAGGAAACCCGGACTGCTGGGATGGTGGCATCAGTGCCAAGAAACATACTGTAATGCTGATGAATCACAAAACTGACCAAGCAAACAAACAAAACCAAACCCTATGTGTGAAAAGCTTTTTAGAGGATGTTTGCTCAGTGTTGTCGTGAAGCAGGTTTGTTCGAAATGCAGCAGGAGCTGTGAAATGGCCAAATCGGGTCAGGGAGGGCACCCTGTTTGCTTACTTTAAAGAAGTATCTGGGCTGTCAATAGTGAGCTGTGATGGAGGAGAATGAGTGGAAAAAGTAAATGATGCAGAGATGAGAGCAAACCACAAGCTCCAAATTGGGTATTTGAATGCCTTACATAGGTCAGGGCTTTTTTAATAGTATAAATCCTCAAGTCAGCTGCAAAAAGCTGGTCTGGGTCTCAGTTTTGGACCTGTTTTCCATTGAGCTTACCAGCGTGATCCAGATCCAGGGTGCCCATTTGCACCTGGTGAGACCAGAATAGTTGAGATTGGAGCAAAGCAGCACACAGTGCAGTGGTTAAAACCACCCAGCACAACCACCATTTATTTTTAAAGGGTTGTTTGGGGAACTTAGGTTATTTTCTCATCTGAAGCACATTTGGGACAGTATATGGAGCATGTGCTGTTCTGGCCCAAGGCTGGCTGGTGGTGGTAGGTCACTTTGTATAGCTTCTGTATTAAAAAAAAAAATAAAGAAATGAGTAGGGTTATTTCAGAGTCTAAATTTAGCAGTAATTATTTCAAGCAATTGAAAAAGGAACATAAATCTCACTTGTTTATTACAGCTGCTTCTTGAAAACAGCAGCTACAAATAATACCCTATAATGAAAATCTACTTAACACTGTCATGGGTTACCCAACAAGAGAACAAGTGTTTGGGAGCTGGACAAAGGCAGCGTTGCCTCCTCTGAGGGAGGGTCTGTGTTGAGGAGAAGGTGGTTATTACTTAACTTCTGGTTTTATCTCCTTGGGTGAAATGAATACTGTGACATTTCTGCATAGATGAGTACAGCTTTTGACTGGAAAAAGGTCTGAGCTCTACTTGCTTTTTATGTACTTCTGCACTCTCTCAGGTACGTTCCTAGAGGAGGATGGGTGAGATGCAGCAAGTAGGTTCATAAACCAGTGATGTTTCTGAGGAGATTTGTGTGTGCTAGCAAAGAATCCTACAGTAAGAATAAAATAGGGCAGGTCAGACCCTGGCAGTCTTGGTTCAGGCACAATTTCAGCATCTTCCACACCTGGCCTTGAACACTACCAGGGATGGGGCAGCCACAGCTTCTCTGGGCACCCTGTGCCAGCGCCTCAGCACCCTCACAGGGAAGAGCTTCTGCCTAAGAGCTCATCTCAGTCTCCCTCTATTCACACTTCTATGTTACTGATCCACTTTTGCAATGAAAAGCACTGGCTTCATTGGACTTGTGTCAAATGTATACAGATGTTAGGGAAACCTTGCCTGGAAAAGATTTTTTTCCCCCCATGAAATCACCTCTGTATGATGGATAGCTCCATTAGCACTCTGAAACCATATTCTCTAGGTGGTACTCACAAGTCATGGTGTATTCTATGCTCCTCTGAGTAATCTTGATGACTGGAGAAGAATTTTCTTATAATTGCACAGTTTCTTCCCTCCTTTTCAGTATCTCTCATGCCTTATTCAGGATGAAACCTGGATTTCCAGTCTGCTCATGCTCTTGGGCAGACTCAGTGAAAGGAAGGTGCTTTGTTGTCTCTTTGTCTTCTTCAATAAGAGTTAGAGCTGGTTTTTAAGGAGGATAACCATAAGAAGTGCACCTTTCCCAAGCAGGGAGAGTATTCGGCACCTTAGGGGGTGCTGGCTCTGTGTCTCTCTAGGAGGTTGTCTTCCCTCATAAGTGAAGAGAACCATTTCTGTCGTATGCACTTCAGGGTTTGCTCTTTCATGGGGTCCTGGCACACGGAAAGCTTGATGTTTGCCAGCTACTGAGTGCCTTCTGCAAGGTACTGAGTGCCCTCCTATCCTTTGCAGCCAAAAAGGACTTGATTGCTCTTGGCATCAGGCAGATCTGGACCCAGAAGACCACAGGTAGTATTTACCAATTATTTCTGTGCTTTTGCATGCCAGAGGTTGTCTGAATGGATTTCCCCAGCATACAGGAGAGTTCAGGCATTAATGACACTTGCCTGCCACTAAACCCATCTCTTTTTTAAATAATAATAATAGAATAATAAGCATGACATTTATTTCATCGCCATGGGGAAATTACCACCGCACCCCCCCCCAGTTAACTACAGCCCAAGTAACTATTAGCTCTTTAGAGCTATTGCAAATGTGTGAGTTATATACCCTGAATGAGCACCATATGCCAATTTATTGTGTCACAGTGAGTCACAGGACATATTGTGGAAAGCAGTAATTGCTTGGCATGCGTTGTAACACTCAATAGGGCTTTTTGTTTGGTTTTCTGAAGGGAATATGTTTTTACTCTGACAATAAAATGAGTATTGTCTGATGTGCTGCCACCAGGGACTGTTGCTTATTTTATACTTAACCTGGAGCTTACCCATTTCCTACTCACTGCACCCACCCTCTCTATCTTTTTCTTTCCAACTGCTTGTATTGTATGAGTGCACTATCAGAATATGAACCTTGAGCCTTCCATTCGGTATTGTCTTGGTATTTTGTGTTAATCCTCCTCTCCCTTTTCCTCCTCATCTTCTTTCTTTGTCCAATAGGGAAATTGAGATTGGTTGCAAGGAAGAAATGTTCACCCTGAGTGAAGCAGTGGGATGGGTTGAGTGGAGGTTTCATGGTCTCCGCTCTAGGAGGTTTTCAGAGTTTATCTACATAAGGACATCAGCAACCCAGTGTGATTTTGATGCTGGCCTTTCTTTGAGCAAGAGGTTGGGCTATGTTGACCTCCAAAAGTCCCTTCTAACCTATATTATTTTATGGTGCTGTTTAATACCCCGTTCCCATTCTGATTCATCCCTGATGCTGTGCATGTCATTGAGTCCTCACTCCGCCTTGGAGTCACTCCCATTTGTACCAGCACAGAACCTGAGCGACCTCCTGAAGGTCAATGAAGTTACAGTGGGTTTGCTCACGTGGGATCGAAATCATGATGTAAATTGTAGCCTCAGATGAGATTAGGAGGTGAAATCTGGGTCTCTCTGAAACCAGTTGGAGTTTTTACCAGGATTTCACTCGAGATCTCCTCAAATCTTGATTAAGTGCTAGTTGACGTTACCAGGTAAAGAATGCGATGCGTAATTATACTGGGACAATAAGTATTTATAAAGTAAAGATTACCTTTTTCTGTTTCAGTTACAAATCCCATTCCCAAGCAGCCTGGAAGAGAGCTTTGGGGTATTTAGGATTTAGTGAGCCACCAACTGCCCTGGCTCAGCCGTTACGTGCGGGTTTCCTCATGTGGCTGTTACCACGTGAGGGAGTTAATGCTGCACAGAGCATCTGCTCCTCAGCTAAACACCCTCCCAGCCCTGCAGCTGCCTGCCAAAGAGCTTTGGACGTGCAGAGGGGCATCTGCGAGCTCTACAGGGTAGCAGATCCTCAGGGGTTAGCCAAAACCCACCCTTTGTCAGGACAATGCTATTTTAATTATGCTGAAAGAAAGCAAAACCACTCTCAGAATCTCCATCTCTGTCTGGGGAATTGTCAGCCATCATCTAGATATTATAGAAAATAAAATTAAGAAATATGGGAATAGTTCTATAGGGTTCCTCTTTCCATTCTGCGAAGATAAGATGAGTTTTCTCCATATCTCTCTTTTATCAGCAAGAAGTATATTGCTTATGCAAACACCTGATTTCCCATCAGGCCCTGTCAAAGGTAAACTTTACCAATGGGGTGACTGTAGTGGATTGAGGAATGACTAAATATGAGTAACTGAAAGCCTTTGTTGTCCCTTCTTATGCAAGGCAGGATTCTAAAATCAAGATATAACAAGACAGGCTTGCTTTCATATACTTTTTCTAGGGATTGCGGTCCTCCCTATTCTGTAACAACATCAATTGTCTCTCCTCGTATGGACCCTTCTTAAATGATGTAGAAGAGTGTTCCTCTTTCAAACATGAAAATGCTGTTGTGCCATGTAGAGGGAACATAGCAGTGGAAGACCCTGTTGCTTATAGGCTTGAAGGTCCCTTCTCCTCCACTCTTCCTGCAGTTCACAAGCTACAGATTCCAAGTCAAATTGAATAGCCAGATAATACGCACATGAGGAATTTCAAGCAATACATCTGACAGCTGAATCACCCAGGTTTCTCCTTCTGCAGAGCTATCTGCAGTTCATGTAGCTACTGCACACATGTGACTTCCTTACAATAACCCAGAAAAGTAAACCAAAGGAAACCTTTCTACCTTTAGTTTACATACGGAGTGTTTTTATGGCTCCCTCGGCTGTTTGCCATGTCCCCATCATTTATGGGAGAACTGCAAACAGTTTCCCACCTTTCTGTAATTAGCTTTTGCACACAAGGAAACTCCTGAAAAACAACTGCAGCTGTGGTGAAACCTGCTTTAGGTATTAAGAGTCAATGTGCACATTGGAATCTGGTGAAAGCCTGTTCACTTAGCTGAAGTTGCACCAAGATCCTCATCTCTTCTGCTCTACATCTCTGAATTGGGTCAACAGGAGTAGGTTAAGTTTACAGTGGTGAAGGTAGGACTATAAAAGCAGCCTGCAATGAAAACCATCAGCTGGTGTGTGTTTGACAAGCTAAGAGATGGAGAAAGAATGCTTAGGCTGTTCATATATTGTAGTGCTGTATTTGGGGATGCTCACCTACAAAAGCCAACAGAAAAGCCTGTGGGATTGACACTGGTATGAAGGTAGGGCTGCAGCTACTTGTTTCTTGTATTGGAGCCAGCCTTGCTCTTGCAAAATTCCCTTTGGAGGCAGCAGTTGCAGGGTGAATTCGATGGGGCTTTTGTCCAAGTAGTGTGTGGGATCAGGGTTTTGTTTGTGCTTGGTGTGTGCTCTGCACTTTGCAGGCCGTGGTATGCAAAAGTGGTTTACGCGTTAGTTTCCCTGGAGAAGTGAAGTATTTGTTCTGGTGCTGTTTGGTTTTCCTATCTCCTGACATAGAACCCAGCGCAGCTCTCCGTGCGTGAAAGCTCATGTCAGACGTCCCTGGTGAAAGTGAACTGAAAATACACCTCTGGTTGGGAATCAGCTTGAATTGTGTCATAATTTAAATCAGATTGGTTTAGTGGTCAATACCAAAGGTTTTACTTCCAACTCAGACCTCCAGAACAGATGCTGGGGAGCAGAAATCTGATTTTTGACCAACTCATGCCCATTGAGAGGCCTGTAAGTCATGGTGGTACTCCTCTGAAATGCCCTTCAGGAGCACATCGAGTGGCTCTGGCCAGCCGTGGGATCTCCAAGGACAGAGCTGGAACTGGAGATGGAGCCAGGGCTGTTCTGGGATTAAACAAAGCATACCAATGTCCAGCCGTGCCAGCCAGCACCTGGCACCAGCTGCATGAAAGCAAATAAACACCCCAGTGTCCACACAGCTTTGCTTTTCTTTGTCTGCGTGTGTGAAAGTCTGCAGTTCACTGACCTGCTCTGCAAAGTCGTGCTCTCTCTGAGCTTGGTCGTCAGCTTTGCCACTTCTTCTTTTAGCACATCCTTTGCAGACACCACACACACATGCACGCTGTGTTTTGCTCCGCTCGCATCAGTGGTTTCAGTATCATTTCCTGTGTGAAACTTCAGATGCTTGAAGCTCCTGTTCCATTTCTGAAGGAAAGAAAACAGCAGCAGTGAATTAAACCTCGGGGTGCTTAAGGAATCTCTGGTGGCTGAAGGTCTGTGAGCAGTGTGTGAGGTTTGGTGGCAAGGGTCATTGCTCCACCTTAGCTCCATATCTAAATAGTCTACAGCTCGCTTCTCTCAATGAATCATATTTTTGCCAATAATTACTGCCAGCATGGAGGAGAAGTCAAGACTAAAATCAAAAGCAGCTCATTTAATCATTAAGTATTGGAGCTCATGGCTCTGTCCTCAGGGCTCTGTGACCTTCTCAGGCTTTACAGCCCTGTAATGGGGCTAACGCTGCTGATCGCGTGCGTGTAATAGCTGTTTTCCTGGTACAAATGAGCTGGCTGGTTTCCACCCACGATGCCGTGTTGCACAACTCTGCCTTGCATTAATGTATGCTAGAACAGTCAGGCATTCTGCGCATGGGGTGCAGGGGCAAAGAAGAAGAAAGGATTGGTCTCCTCCACCAGTGGTGTTGTATGACACGTCAAGGGGGAATGGCTTTAACCTGCCAGAGGGGAGACTGAGATGAGCTCTTAGGCAGAAGCTCTTCCCTGTGAGGGTGCTGAGGCGCTGGCACAGGGTGCCCAGAGAAGCTGTGGCTGCCCCATCCCTGGCAGTGCTCAAGGCCAGGTTGGACACAGGGGCTTGGAGCAAGCTGCTCTAGTGGAAGGTGTCCCTGCCTGTGGCAGGGGTTGGAGCTGGAAGAGCTTTAAGGTCCCTTCCATCACAAACCAATCTGGGGTTCTATGATTCTGTGTTTAAACAGCTGCCACAGGTGGGATAGAAATCTGTCCTCATTTACTGTTTAAGTTAAGATGGATGGATAGACAATGAAACACAACTCTGTCTTTGTGTGCAGGTGGCGTAGGCAGGTATGGCACCAGCCTGGTTACAAAGCTCATGAAAGCCATTAATAGGCGTGGAAAACTCAGCTTGTTTTTCCAAAAGCATGTAATCTTGTGTCTGTCTTTTACTTAACTGGAAAACATACTAAAAAAGTACAGTAATCTTCAAGTATGGGAAACTTTGAACAACTTGGAATCAAATTTGCAACAACTCAGGATCTAATGCTGGGATTCAATTGCTGTAATCTTGTCTTTGTCATAGCTCATTGGATGGGGTTTTGGGCAACCTGGTCTAGTGGAAGGTGCCCCTGCCCATGGCAGGGGGTTGGAACTGAATGAGCTTTAAGGTCCCTTCCAACCCAAACATCCAAAGATTGTATGAAAGTCCTGAACACCTGCACTGGCAAACTCAGTAAATATAAAGCTAATTAGAATTAGTTAAAAAA